GAAAAAGAATTAAGGTTGCAGATGGACACTGGGCCTTGACTCAAGTACTCCCTCAACACAAGAGCACTTTGTTCTAACAATCCCGCATTCTGTGATGCTCACCTTCTCAACACGATCGCTGAAGACAAAATGGGTGCATAAGCAAATGTAGTGAAGAAAGCTGATGTTGCCCAGCTATCAAAAGATCTAGCATCTTGTGTCTTAAAGGCTTGAAGATAAACAAGTTGGCCATCTAGCTGAGAAGCAACAAAGCCCACATGGAAGAAGCATACCAGCCTGTGCGATCATGAGGTGTTGATGGGATCAGGTATCTAAGACCCAAAACAAAATCATACACAATGTGAATGAGGGAAGGGGGGTGGCATGGAGTGGAGACCAATGCGCATCTATAGACAATTGGACATCCCCTCACAGAGGGGTCACAGGAAAGAGATGAGCCCATCAGGGTGCAGTATAGCACCAATGAAACACACAACTTTCCTCTAGTTCTTTGTTGCTTCCTTCACCCCACTATCATGACCTCAATTCTACCTTACCAATCGGATTAGACCAGAGCATGCACACTGCTACAAAAAAGAACCCGCAATACAGGGAATCCAGGATAGATAAACCCCTCAGAGCCAACAATGAGAGTAGATATACCAGGAAGATTAAGGGAGGGCAGGAGGAGAGATGTGGAATCAATCACAATGAACAATCTAGAACCCCTCCTAGGGGGACAAATAACAGAAAGGTGGGTGAGGGGTGACGGAGGATGATGTAAAATATGAAAATAATAATCTATAACTTATCAAGGGTTCGTGAGGGAGGGCGGACAGAGGAGGGAAGGGGAAGAAATGGGGAGCTGATATCAGGGGATCAAGTGGGAAGAGAATGCTTTGAAAATGATGGCAGCATATGTGCAAATGTGCTTGACACACTGGATGAATGTATGAGTTGTGATAAGAGATGTAAGAGCCCCCAATAAATGTAAAAAAAAAAAAGTAATCATGATGTAGAGAGACGAACAGAAGATTCCAAAGGTGGCTCAAGAATATAAAAGTAAAATAATATAATGAAATGTGCAAAGACCTGGAATTTGAAACCCAAAGGAAAGAATACAAAATTAAAGAACTGAAGAAAACGCAAGCCTCGAGTTGCAACACTGAAGGATTCTATGGGCAAAACATTGAACTAAGCAAAGTATCAAAATATAGCAGGAATATAAAAAAATCACTATGTTATAAAGAACCGGTCGATGTTCAATCATTCCAGGAGGTTCCACCTGATCAAAAGCCAACAAGATCAAAGGAAAAATCTCACGCTGCACTGAAGGCACTGACAGAAAAACAAGCTCCAGAAATTGAAGAGCAAGGATGACATTTTGAGGACGAAGGTGCATCCAACCCAAGCCAATGTATTGCTTCCAACACAGACCAGTCTTTGAAGGACATCATCCTTGGTGAAGTTGAGGGTCAATGGAAAAAGGCAGCCTTCAATGGGATGGACTGACACAGTGGTTGCAACAGAGCAAAACTGTGAGGCCAGTGTAGGACCAGGCTCAACATCATTGTTTACACAGGATCACTATGAGTCAAGAGTCAACTCGAGAGTACTTTACTAACAATATAACAGCAAAAATGTCAACTCAAGAATACTATACTAACAATACAACAGTAAAAATGTGTATAGAAGAAATCAATGAGGGAGAACTTATCTGTGTCTTCTGGTTCTTGTCAAGAAATAGACAAATAGGCAAAAATAATGAGAACTGCAAGATTAAGTTCTAAATGTTTCTTCTAAAAACTGGAAAACATATACAATGAAGTTTATAACTACCAACTTAGGAAAACTTCCAGAAGATAAAGGTCTCTGATGAATAAGACAAAGTATCGAAGGCCACATAAACAATTTTCTAGAGGCATAGAGTAAAGCAATAAGGTGACCCTACCTTGGCACACCTCCACAGCTTAGTAGCATTCTGAGACTTTTTAAAAAAATACTAACTGAAGAGTAAATAAGTTAAATGGAAAATTCTCATTATAGTCACTATTTTCAAGCAGTCAGAAGTGTTTTTACTATGAAGAAATAAACTTCTAAGCTATATTAGGTTTTGTGATCTCAGCAACAAAAAATAACAGCCCCAGAAGCATCTGAGGCATGAACCAGCCATCTCTAGCTCACCCACCAGAGTGCATTCAGAGCCCACACCAGACTCATCCAGCTTGCCAAGGTTCTCCCTTATTTTGGAAGGCACCTCCACAAGTCTTCATGAGTGAAGGCATCACTAATGTCACCTGGACACCTAGTCTAGAGCAAGTTCCTGGACTCCTCCAAGTGTAGTGTTTGACTCAAGAAGGGATTCAGCAGGCTGCAGGGCACAAGAAATGGCCTTCAGTGCTCACACAGGCCCCACTGGAACAAGCAGCTAAGGGAGCAAGGAGGTCCTGGAACTGCCAAAGACTGAGAGCAAGGCCGGGTTTCGGCCAACACTGCAGAGGGAAACCCTTCCATGCCCTGCCACTTGCCCACAGGGGGCCATTCAAAGCAGGCCAACTTCTGTCCTCTGGTGTCTAAGTGCCTTCCTGCTCCAACGTGGAAAGCACTCAAAAGAAATACATGCCAGCTGAAATGCTAAAACGAAAGAACACACACAGGATAATCCCAACAAAAACACCAGGAGTCTGATCAGAAACCTTAAGATCTTCTGTCCTGAAACTGTGATTTCTTATTGTGCTAACACTAAAATGCTCATCACAAATTGCTATCAAACACCTATGCCCTTGACCAGGTAGGAGGTCCAGGTGATAGATGCCGTATTCCTGAGGCCAAGGCTTCCCTCCCTCTCCAATGGTTGTGAAACTGCTTCTCCTCCACCTGTAGCACTGTGAAAGCACTAGGGTTACAAACCATTTTAATCAAAATGCTCATTGCTTCTCAAAAAGGTCTATTTCATACACTCTCAAAAAAGGTAGTTAATTTTAAGTTCAATTAGTTTTATCTGTTTGGCCAAACTGAAAGCACAAATCTCTAAGGAAGTGTCCTTGGGCATGAACGACACTCTTCAGTTTTTGAGACAGTGAGGGTTCCTGCTCCTAGCTGCCATGTGAACTGATCAAGGCACTGATTCCTTGTCAGCTCCAAGAGCAGGCCAGGAGATCCAGGGGGAGACAGGCCCAGGAGGGCTAGTCTGCACAGCCCCTGACAGGGACCCTAGAACCACTCTTGCTGCTGTTAGTATAATTCTGTATTGGTCTCTGGGTTGCATTTTGATATTGGTGATAGTGGCAAAACTGAGTACATTCCATGTGTTTTTTTCCTACTGTATTTTTCCAAACCTCAGAGATTTGTTCCTGGGAAGCTGGGGAGGAATGAAGCTTCCTTTTCTTTGACTTCCAAATTTCCAAAAAGGGTCACCAGACATCTTCCTTCTTCCTTGAAAAGACCCTCTTTGGTGCCATAACCAAAAGTCCACTGACCTGAACAACCACTGTGGAAAGCAGTTTGATATTACCTCAAACAACTGGGAACAGAAATTCCATCCGATCCAGCAATCCCTTTGCTGGGCATATACCCTAAATTAAGAGCCTAAAAACCAACAAACATATGCACTAGTGTTCACAGGAGCACTGATCACAATAGTAAGAAACAGTCCAAATGCTCACCAGTAGAAGAATAGATAAAAAAAGTTTGGTACACACAATGGAATATTATGCCTAGCTAAAGAACCATGATGAAATCACGAAACATCCCATGACGTGGATGAATCCAGAGAATCATTATACTGAGTGAAGTCATTCACAAAGAATAAATACTGTCTGAGACCACTGCCATGAGAGAAAAAAACCAAGACACAGACTTGCATGCCAAAGGGAACAGACTTTAGAGGTATTATAGGAGTGGGGCAGGGATGAAGAGGAAGTAAAAGACTAGAGGGTCAACAGGTGTTGACTTGGGTAAAAGGCAGGATGAAGGACAAGAGGGAGAAATCAGAGAGAGTGAGGGGATAACATGGCGGGGACAGGGGCATGATGTGTCTGAGCTACGAATGCCCACTTGATGGTCTGAAACGTACCCATCTCAATTCACAATAAATGTAACAATTTTAAATAAAGGAAAAACGAAAAGTCCCTGATCTATACCATCTCAGATATGCCTTAATAATCTCCTAAATTTTAGAGAACTCAGCACCAAAGAATAGAATGATAGGAAAGTTCTTGTATATCTCGTAGAATCTTGCCGACAAAAGTAGTGTCACTCAAGGACTCTAACAGGCCTTGAGAGCCACATGTCATGTGTCAACACAGGTCCAACAACAGGTCCAACCAACAGCAAACTATTACTCAATGGCCACAACCATGTTACAAAAAATCAGATACTCACAGAAAAACCATCTTCAGAACAATACTATTGTCTGGTGCTTCCCAGACTTTGAGACCCTGACCAACATGAACCAGCGGCCCACATCACCACCTGGACCAAGCGTACAGGCCTCTACACCTGGGCCATGTATGTCACAGCAAAAGACAGGCCAGTATCCCACTGCTGAGATGTGAGGTAACACTTATTGACAGGCCACCACAGATTAGTGCCTCTTTGAAAATCAGAAGCTCTTGTGGTGAAGATCTCACCAGTTCAGAAAATGCTTAAGAAAATGCTGGTCCAACCTAGAAACACTAAGTTTTTAAGAATTCAGAGCCTTCGTCTTTAGATAAATTGCTTTAGATTCATGCTTCACCCATGAATACGAAAGGGACATTTCTTATTGTCAGTGACTGGGGAGGAAATGAGGGTATGCTGGACAAAAAAGTGCCTGTGTCACCTTCCAGCGCCGTCTTCTAAGTACCAGGCTCCATCAGCCCTGGATGAAGTATGTGTGTGTGTGTGTGTGTGTGTGTGTGTGTGTGTTTTGAGGAGGGGAGAGACACATTCCCAGGTCATCTCATCCTCCCGCCATGGCAGCACCCAACCCAAGCCCGACCATCCCTTGCTGTAAGCCCGCAGCACGCGTGTTCACCAACCTCCCTGGTCCCGCGCAAAGAGCTCACAGAAGTCAGGATGTGCACAGGCTGTATCCTTCGCTGTTTCCACTCCTGGTTTAAGATCTCCGTTCTTTCCACAATTTTCTGACGGTTGGAACTAAACATACTCTTTTAAAAGAACAAAAGAAGGGAGAACAGAGATCATTCATTGTTAGAAAATGGCAATAGCAGATAGGCTTAGGGGGATTCAAAACGTTTAACATAAGCCTGAATTTTTGGCTATATTAATTGGATCATAAAGTTTTGCCTTGACAGTTTTCAAAGTATAGAAAATATCCATAGAGCCACTTTGGCTCTTTTGAACTTTATATATAAAACAAAAGGGGAAATTGTGGGAAACAAGGATTTCTCCCAAGTTGTCTCCCCAAAATATAAGCCAAACTCAGCTGCTTGCATATGACTATACACTTGGAGGTCATCAGAAGTAGATCAGGGGTTATTCTCCCTAAGGGTTATCAATCATCTAGAGCAAGCAGACACCACTGTTTATCCCACAACAAATAGGACCCACTCCCTTCTGATAAGGATAGTAGTTGTCTGTTTCCTTGTAGGAGACCACAGAGAGGTCAAGTCCACCCAAGGGTGAACAAGGTTAGGCCGCCATCATGAATCTAGGGTCTGCCCTTCTTGTCACATGTATACCTCTAGTTCCTCCCCTCCCTATCATGTGTACAGCCCTAGCTCATCCCCTTCCTGTTACGCCTCTGCCCATTGTACATCTCCTTCCTATGATGTGTATGCCTATTGCACTGCCCCTTCCTGTGACGTGTAGTTACCTGTAATGATGGCCCCCTAAGGAGATATAACTCTTGGTTAGCAATAAAGTTGGGGCTCTCTACTGCTCTCGCAGCTGTGCTCCCCCCACGAGAACCACCAAGCAGGGCTGAGGTGAGCACGCTACCATGAATTGTGTCTGACTCCCATTATTCCAATCTCTTCTCTACCTCTCATGCTCTCTGACTTTACTATAATCTTTACTTATTATCGCTGTACAATTGTGCCTACCGGACCTGTGATGATTTGTTGGGGACCCTCCTCTCACCACAAGTTACCATCTAGTGATTCCTCAAACAGTGGGAGTATCTCCTTGGACAAATTTGATGCTCACTGTCTCCCTCATCTCTGGTTTCCACACAAATGCAGACAGCTCCCAGTTTAGGGTCCTAGACTTATGGACAACTCCTTCCATGCCCTTTAATGGCACATAAATTGTCCTCACTCTGAAAGGGTACTCTCTCCTTCATCAGTCACCTTTGCCATTTTCAACCTATTAATTCATGGCCATCCAGACAATTCTAACCTCTAGCGACACCACAAGACACAAAAGAGCTGCCCCACTGGTTTCCAAGCCTGTTGATCATTACTGAAGCAGACTGGCTCATCTCTCTAGTCTTATACACCTTTGTCTGACTTACTTACTCTTGTCTAAAGACAGGGTCCAGCCAGCCAAAATCACAGGCAATCTGGCCACACCCCTAGTTAATGCGAACCCCTCCTCTGCTTTAGAGACATAAACCCTGAGACACACCCCCTTTGTACTAGGGTTCAGAGGCAACACATGCAACATGAATAGGTCTACAGCATGAATCCCGGTGTTGCCTCACTGTGCAAGGACACTGGTGAGCCCTACCTTGACTTCGTCTGCCCGCCGGAACCGCTTGAGCTGCCGCAACCGCATGTACTCTGACTTAACTCGCTTCCGCCAGCACACAGGCCCCTTGTCGGACTTCTTCCCGGTCTGGCCCATGATTGCTGTAGAGGCAAAGGTCTCAAGTCAAACCCTGGGCAGGGCAGGGGGACACCTTAATGTCCCCAAGAGCTAGGGGTCTAAAGGAGAAAGGGCGGCACACCCTGAAGCAGAACTGGCATGGGTCCACAGGACCGATGGGAATGAGTGGTGACAGGGACAGTCACTGCAGATGGGGAGCCCATTACGAGGCAGCCCTGAGGTAGGCCCAAGTGCAATCCGCACCCTCCAAGCCCACTTAGATCCCAGACAAGTCCTCTTCCTCCAAAGCATGGTGTCTTCAGACAAGGAGCCATTTCCTAGGTGACAGCAAAGCTCTGTCAGACCAGGGCCTCTGTGGTGTCTCTCATCTGGGTGTGTTCCTGGAGCATGTGGGCCGGTCTTCAGACCAGAGACTGGGGGCAGAGGTGAAGGAGTGAGTGGGTTACTTAGAAGAGGGTTGAGGCAGGACTTGGTGGTGATTTAAAATGGTGTGTGAGAAGTGACTTTGTGGGTGTCACAAACAAGCAGGGCTAGTAGCTCTGCCCAAGAACAAGCTGCTTTAGTATGGGAAGAAGGGCCCCTAGGGCAACAGTCACTGGCTACACTTCTCCACAGCCATACATAGTTGGGAATGCAGAAAAAGCCGTTTACTCAGACCTGAGAAAGGGAGGCAAAAAAAGGTGTCAAATGACTATGATGAGTTGGCAGTACCCCGAAGCCCTTACGAAGCTTGTAGTCTAGCAAAGAAACAAGATATGAAGGATACCAAAACAAAAAACAAGGAATTGCACTGGGTCAAGTGGAGCTTTCATAGTTAAAGGAGCATCAAGCAATTTACTCTGAGTTAGTGCACCCAGTGGCATCACCTGGGAAGGTTCTCTCTGTTCACAGTGAATTTTTTTCATGAAAGCAGTTCATTTGAACCTCATTTTTTGTGATGGCCAATTTAAGAGAACAGCATGCAACTACAAAATGTTGTTTCCTGCTCAGGAAAAATAACCACAGAAACTGTTGTGATGTTGAACAAGCTTACAAGGACAGTGCTATGGGAAAAACTCTCAAGTGTACAAGTGGTTTTCTCCTTTCAAAAAAGGTGAAATGGCAATTGATGACAAACCTCCTTCTGGACATCTATCCACTCACTTGCTGAATGGACAAAAATGTCAACTCATAGTGTATTTGTAGTTCATTCCACCAGGTCACACTGTTAATCATGCTTTCTATTTAGAGGTTCTAAAAAGATTGAGTAACAGTGTGCCACAAAAAAGGCCTGATTTTGTGGCAGATGGCCAACTGGTTTTGCCACAACAATGCACCTGCTCATGCAGCCATCTCAGTACAGCAGTTTGGGGCAGAAAAACAGCATGCCTCTCGTGCCCCATGCACCTTACTCACCTGACCTCATTCTGTGCAACTTCTTTTTATTTCCGCAATTGCAAAGGGGCATGAAAGGACAGCGATTTGACAAAGTAAACAAGGTGAAGAAAAAAATGAAGGAAGTGCTGTTAGCCACCCAAAGAGAGGAGATTGAAAAATGTTTCCTAGAATGGAATTGCAGATTTGACAAATGTTTTAAGTGTAATGGTAAAGTTGTTTGGTTAAAAAAAAGTAAATACATAGCTTTGAAAAAGATATTCCTTTTTTTTTTTAGGTACCCCCTTGTACAGTCTACTACAAGTTACACCCCAGTGTGCCTGTGACATCAGTGAGGAATCATAGGGGAGAAGAGCTGCGGGTGGGAACCCCACCCCACACAGGAACCCCACACAGGAACCCCAAAGGGCTGGCTTCTTAGAGGCAAGGATGACAAGACTTAGTCACATGTACTTTGGGCATGTTATCAGGAGAGACCAGTCCCTAGAGAAAGGCTTCATACTTGGTAAAGTGGAGGAGCAGCAAAAAAGAGGAAGGCAGGCCCTGGATTAGATGAATGGGTGTCACAGTGGCTACAATGGACTCAAACATAACAACTGTGAGGATGATGCAAGACCTGGCAGTGTTTCCACTGCAGAGTACTCACACAGATCAAGCCTCTATTGAATTATTTCTGATCATTAACCAAGCATAGCGTTACTCATTGGGCTGTTAAACGCAGGTCAGGTCAGTAGTTGCTCCATATGAGAAAGATGAGGTTTTCTGCTCCACTCCCAGATAGGTTTACAGCCTCAGACACCTACAGGGGCAATTCTGTCTTATAGGGTCATACAGACTCAATGACATCATACTCTTAAAATGTATGCATTTTATTGTATAAAAGTACATTTCAATAAAGTAGATTTTTAACTGAAAAATGAATACCTTGCTAGAATAATTTGGCAACACCTATTAAAACTTGATCACCTATTAAAACAAAGGTAGTGCAGGATAGGGCAGGTCGGCATGGCAGTAAACATTAAAACTTAACATTAAGCAACATTAAAACTCAAAATGTGCATAATCTTTTAATACAGACATCTGACTCACTTGTTGTAGGGCACTTACAACACAAAGACCATTCACAAACCAGAATACCAGCTACCACTTACTGAAGAAACAAGTACACCCAGCCTGGCAGCGTAGAGCAAAGAGCAGTAAATTCTTTCTGGAAAAGGTCAAAATATCCACACAATCATGGAGTCAATTCCAATCCATACCTGTCTGTTAGGACAGAATAGAATTGCTTCTTTGGGTTTCTGAGAATGTAAATCCTACAAGAACACACTACCTCTTTCTCCTACAGATTGGCTGGTAGGTTCGAACCTCAGATCTAGAGGTTAGCAGGCCCCTGTGCTTAACCCACTGTACTACCAGAGGTCCTTATAAGGAGCCCAATGATAAAATGTTTTACATTTGGCAGGCCACAAAGCCTGTTAACATTCTTCTGTGGGGTTTGGTTATTTTGGGGTGTGTGTGTGTGTGTGTGTGTGTGTGTGTTTAACAATTTCTTTTAAAAGTTACAACAATCCTTAGCTGGTGGGCCTTTCAAAAAATAAGCCATGGGTGGATTTGGCCGGTAGGCTACAGTTAGTTCACTTAGACATCAGGACTTTCAAAACAAAGTGCCCAAACTAAAATCCTTTCTCCAATTAGTTACCTAATCTCTCCATCCTTTGTTACAATTTCTATGTATATTAACAAATACACAGCACTTAAAACAGCTGAGCACTTGTCTTACAGAAATATCAACTACTTTTTATATGAAGTAGCTTTTAAAAAGATGAAAAAACATTATATTTTAAAATATGAGTAAGAACTTTTTAACTCAATCCCACTCACTTATTTCTTACATGAGTGCATAAGGGAAAGTAGCAAGAAGATACATCTAACTGTAGGCAATGAGATTGCAAAAGTAAAAATTCAGTTTGTAAATAATTTGTTTGGTTTTAGTTTGAACACATTATTCTACTTAATCAGTGAAGACATTTCTAAGTAAACAGAAATAAATCAAACAGATGTGTAGCACCATATCCTCTGAGGCCGAATAATTATATGGCAATGAATTTGAGTTGGATTTTGGAACACATATTTCAATTTGAAAAACTCCATAAATGAGAAAGCGCATAAAATCTTCAAAATAACAACTAAAAATCATTTTTATATGATCCTAAGAGTTTCACAAACCAACCTTAATTTATCCACTCCTCACCATAACCTTTGGAGATAATAACTGTCATTATCATCACCACCTCACAGTTCAGGGATCTCAGACAGCTTTGGAATGCAGTTGCAGAGCACATTGGTCTGGCTATGAAAGCAATCTTAGAAGACATCTTAGTCAGCCTAGGACATCAGACAAAATCCCCACAACTAGAATTCTGTTTTGCAAACCATTTTTTTTCCCCAATTCAGAGAAATTCACTACTGTTATAGAGCTTAAGGATCCTGAATCACAGATAGCCAGCGGACAACTGGGTATTTTCATGGAGTCAGACCAGTGCTCTGAACTGGTCAATTCTGGTTCTAACCCCGTTGAGATTCCACCTACCCACCCAGGCTACACTGTTAAAATGCAGATTGATTCAGTATCTCTGGGGTCAGAAGGCCCGTTCTCAGGAAGACGTCAAGCCCAAACAAACAAAAACCAAGTTTGGATCCTGGCTGCAAATTTGTAGCTGGATAAACCTGGATGAGTTCGTCTCTCTAGATTGCAGCTCATCTGTAAACGTTTTGAGGGATTTTTATAAGAATTTAAAATAAAGCATCTGGAAAAGAGCTACTTTAATATACTTTTTCACTTAATTTTTGTACCAAGTGCTAAGTGATATATGGTGGAAAGCTACGGAACACTAAAAACCTCGAAGTTTTTAGCTTTTATCTTGTGACACATTGTTGGATTTGCTAATCTAGACATACTTGCACCTAATGGTTGCATCTTGGTCTATGTACAGGTTCCACATGAACACAATGCAGTATTCTGGAATTCCCATTCTTCTAAGTGCTTTCCATAGTTTGTTGTTAGCCACACAGTCACATGGTTTTGCAGTCAACAAAACCCATGTAAACTTTTGATATTCTTCCAGCCAAGATTCATCCAATGTCTGCAATGATATCCTTCATCCCACTGTCCTCTTCTGAATCTGCCTTGAATTTCTGACAACTCCTTGACAATGGCTGCTTGCCACCCTTTCTGAATTATCTTCAACAAAAATTCACTTGCGTGTGATATTAGTGGTATTGTTCTATAATCTGTACATTGTGGGGGCAGGTCAGATACTTAGGCATTCCCCCCACTGAGGGCAATCAGTTGCCAGACTGCAGTCTCATCCCACCACAGGGGTGGGCCTGCTCCCTGCCTCTGGGGACAGTGGACAGGCTCCTGTAGGCGGAGTTTTCACCCTACTGATAATAGTTCCTATGGAGACCCAGAGACCCCCCCTCATTGCTGTGTACCTATAGTGCAGCCCCTCCCTGTGACATATGTCTCTACCTGTAATTAGTGGGCTGGCATGCCCCAAAAAAGGTATATAGGCGTGGGTCAGCAATATAGAAATCTCTGATCTCTCTGATCTCTCCTTGCTGCTCACTCCCTGGTCACTCCCCTCTCTCCCCGCTCTCCTCTCCAGTCCTCTCTCCCTTGTTCCCTTGACCTCCTTCCCTTCCCCCTCTCTCCAAGTGGACCACCAAGCTGGGCTGAGGTGAGCAATGCTACCATGTAACGTGTCTAACTGCATTATTGTATCTCTCATGCTCTCGATGACTTTAATATAATACTTATATATCTCAACCGTACAATTGTGCATTACTGAACTCATAGAGAGTATTAGCGGGTGGGGGCTGGCCCCTCACCCCCCTACCCAGAGCCATTTTAATTTAATACTACAGTACATTCTGCTAGGTAGCCTTTCTTTGAATGGGTACAAAAATAGATCTATTCCTGTCAGTTGGGAAGGTAGTTGCATTTAAGAACCAAAGCCGAACCCATGCCAGAAAGCCGATTCTGATTCACTGTGACCCTGCCGCAGGTGTTAAGAGAGTAGAACTGTCCTATAGGTTTTCTTGGCTATAATCTTTAGACCTTTCTTCTGTATTATCATAGATGGATTTGAACCATCATCCTTGGAATTAGTGGCGAAGAACAGTTTGTGTCACCCACGGACCCTGAAATACTAAGCCTGAGTACCAATAGTTCTGCCAACTCAGAGGGACCCTAACAAAACAGGGAACTGCTTCTTTTTTTTTTTTTTTAACATTTTATTAGGGGCTCATACAACTGTTATCCCAATCCATACACA